CTCTGGGATGGAGGTCTTTTGTTTCCTGGTGCTTTCTCAGAGATTTTAATTCTACTCTTCCAGTCATGCCGGGAGGGAAGAGTTTTTAACATTCCTTTTCAGCAGATTATTGACCCCGGGGCACAACATTCCAGCCCTTTAAGTCTTTACTGGCCCTGAAGACTGGAATTCATGGGGAGGTCTGTTTGGTTGCCTCACACCCCTGGCTTTTGATACCCATTTTCTCCCTGGCACCCACTTTTTTTTTGGCTTCCTGGCTCCGACTGGTAGAGGCAAAGCACTCTTCACGGAACTGAAAATGGACTGAGTCATGAATTCTAAAGCGGTTTTCTGCAAGCTGAAAAAATCCTGGGTGATGGTGATGGGCCTGCAAGGCGCCCCCCCCTCCAGGTGCAGGAGCACTCTCTCCCCCCACGTCCTCGTCCACCTTTGTGCCGTGGGGTGAAGGGGCCGGCCGCAGCCTCTGCAACACAGGCTCACCTCTGTTTTGTGTCGACACCAGGAAGGGAAGTTGTGGCTTTGAGCAACGGTCTAGGTGGCCAGGCTCCAGGAAAGGAGCTTCTTCTCTGCTGCCTTGCAGAGGGACGCCTTGCGCTGCTTCAAGCCGTTGGGGGCGGGAGGGCAGGAAACGGGACCCACAGCTGTCGTGGGGGGAAACCCCTCCCCAGGGTCTGCTGCTTGGGGGTCTCTTTCAGGCCTCTCCCAACAGTTGTGAGCGCTCCAGCTGTCTGGGACAATGTTAGAAAGGGGGGGGGGGAAGCTGTCTTGAATTCCTCCAAGCTGAGACCCTCCCTTGCTCTTGTGATGGTCACTCTTGTCAGGTCAGGGTGCCCGGAGAGCCAGGGGAAAGAGGGCGGCTGCAGCCTTTGGCTCTGGCCGTCCACTTTCCACTAGCTTGGCCTGACTGCCTGCCCGCCCGCCCGTCTGCCTGTCTGTCTGTCTGTCTGTCTACCCATCTTTAGGTCATTATTTATTTATGACAATGCTTACCTACTCCTTGTCTCTTTCTCTGGGGCTCTGCAAGGTGATGCACAAGAGTAGAGCTTTTTAAAAACAGGTTGAAAAACTACAAAAAAAAATAGCTCCTGGGCACCACATTTTAAACAGCAAAGGCCACTCAAAGCAATATAGCAATAATTAATTAATGGATTGATTGATGATGATGATGCAGAATAGCAAAGTGTGCTGCTTATATACCATCCCACAGTGCTTAAGGCACTCTCTGGGCAGTTTACAACTTAATTATGCAGGCTACACATCCCCCCCCCACCTGCAAGCTGGATATTCAGTCTACTGACCTCAGAAAGATGGAAGACTTGAGTCAACTTTGAGCCGGCTACCTAGGACTGAACCCCGGGTTCTGAGCATACTTTGGGCTGCAGTACATCAGTTGAACCACTGTGCCACAAAGCTCAATGATGATGATCATGATGATGTGCCATAAAATGAATTCTGACTTAAGGTGACCCTTTGCAGGGTTTTCTGTGTATTAGAGAGAATACTCAGCAGTGGTTTGAGGGGGCTGTTCTGGGACGGTGCAGCTGGCCCAAGGCCACCCAGGCTGGCTGTTTTCCCAGGAGGCCCAGCGGGGGAATCGAACTCCCAACCTCTGGCTCTGCAGCCAGAGACCTCAGCCACTGAGCTATATCAGGTTCTGAGTTGCAGGGGCTGGAAGACAGAAGTGTGAGGACTGGAGATATTTCGAATGCTTCCCTAATCTAAAGGGAGCATCCGTCATGCAGGAATGAAATTTACAAAGGCCGTGCTCGATTGAGCTTGATGTCTTACCTAAGAGAGAAGCATTTTGACTTTATGTGACTCAGCTCCTCTTGCTTCCCTTTTGGGGTGCAAAGGTTTTGGGGTTCAGCCTCTACACGGCAGCCATAGTTTAGTCTGTGGGCAATCCAGATGAGGGAGGAGAACCAGGCTCCTTGTCTAAAACGCCAGCCCAGTCAGCTAGGGACTCTTCTGCTGATTACCCAAAGAGCAGGAAACGGCTTGGTTGATTTCCTCAGCTTCCCTTTTCCACTGTGTGGATGCTGGTGGGGGGGGGGGAAAGAGGGGGGGTGTCTGTGTTAACCCCTGGGTTCCCACGGAGTTGCAGCCCAGCCCATACATTTTCAAAGGACCAGGGAGGGTTTTGGGGTGGTGGATTGCAGAACGCTTGCGATATATTTTTAGACCATGTAAGCACACATTGTTTCAATTAAAATCAAATGACATCTGTCTTTCTCATTTTAATAAAATGGCTAATTTCGATGTAAAAGCTGCTCTTCCTAAGTTACAGTAAATGTCAAAAGGCAAGCATCTTGAAACTTTTCCGGGGGAAGGGGGGGGAAAGGAAGGAATATTCTTTTCTCTAGCAGAAAGCGGCTAATAATAATAGTCTAGCACACTATTGAAGAGTCACGATGAGTACTTCATTACAGCTGCTGTGCTGAAGCTGAGCAGGCATGGATTGTCACCGCTGCATAAAAGGCCCCTTGAGAGTCAACTTCCTCCACCCCACCCCCCCATATCCCTCTCTTAAGTCCCCCGATGGATTAAATTGAGGGATGATGAATATACTAAATAAATAAACACAACAGGATATGATGATTTAAAAGGAGAAGTCCATGGAGGAAGTTAAGTCTGTCAGCAGCTGATAAAGATGCTGAAAATTTAACAGAGCCTCTGTATTCAGGTGCAGTCTACCTCACAGTACCTTTTCCTCGGGACAGAGAAAAGAGGTTCGGTTTACGGTTTTAGTCTGAATTTTAGAACTGCAGAGCTGGAAGGGACCTGAGGAATCACTGAGCCCAGCCTCTGTCAAGGAGGCATCGAGGGGAACCACACCCCCAAACTCTGGTTCTGCCTCCAGAGGCTTCAACCCCTGGGCTTAACCCAGCAGTCCACGTGAGCTTCCCCGAGGGTGGGGGTGGGGGGTGGAGAAGGAGTCTTGGCTGGAAGGTGTGATCTATCATGGTCTGTCTGGATCCAGAAAAGTCTGAATACTGCCCGTGGGATGTTAGGATCCTGCCCATAAAGCAGGCTTCCCTGTATGTGTTGGACTGCAATGGGGCCGGCTGGCTGTGGGTTTCTGGGTGTCACAGTTCATCCTACAGATTGGGGCTGATGGCTGCAGGGTTAGGGTTCAGGAACGGTGGTTTCACTCTGCTGGGGAGCCAGTTCCCAAAAGGAGGGTCCGGAGACCCCTCTCTTTGCTGGTGGCTGCAGTGAGTCCCAGCGTCAGAGGAACAAAGGCCCAGACTGTAGCCCTGGGGCCGCCTGCCTGAATGGGTCTCCTTCCAAGACCCGGTCCAGGGCCTGGCTCGATCCCTAGGCCCGGCTGCTGCCCCATTGCCTGCCGGGCCTTTCTTTCCCACGATCCTCGGGAGCCGCCGCGTTGCGCCAGGAAGTTCTGGGACAGCTGCACTGTGACATCGCTCTCCAGGTTCTGTCTGGAACATCCCGAAGGGACAGCCTGGCTGGCGGACGGGCGAGGGGGGGGGGGGGGGCGAATGGGGCAGGGGGGGGCCAGAGTGGGATATTGGCATCATGGCTGCTGCCCAAATGGGTCACCCCCAAAGGTTGAGCTTGTCCTTGCCCCTACGTCAGAAGCACGGGGGAGGGAGAGGAGGGGAGGGGGAAGGAGGGGAACCCCAGCAAGGAAGGGCCCGGCTAGGTTGGTTCGGTCCTTGGAGGGGAGGCGATCCAGGAAAGGAGCCTGCCTCTAGGGGAACCCTAGAGAAGTGCCACTGCCAGCCAGAGGTGGCCATCCGGGGCGGGAGAGGGGCTGAGCCTCTGACTTGGGGGGAGGCAGCAGCTTCTGAGGTTCCAAGGAGAACGTTGGGTCCCCCCCCCCGACCCATCTCTCTTCCCACCCTGCCCTGTGCATGTGGAGAGCCCCAGATGGCCTCTTGGCTTGCTTGCAAGGGTCCCTGCTGGCTTGGAGGGTGGGGTACGAGAGGTGCCCCCCCTCCCGCTGGCCCTTCCCTCTCTCTTTTCCCCTCAGTTGTCCTGAACTCAAGTAGCAGGAAAAGCTCCACTCAGGAAGTGACTCAGCAGCGTCTCAAATGTAGCCTGTGGGGGGGGGG